GGGGCTCTGAGGACAGGTGTCAATCCATATCTGCCAAGTGACCCTATGTAGGGTGAACAGTCCCTATTCTTCTCTGTGTCAGTGTGTATCAGGGATCCTTAGGATAGGTGTCAATCCATATCTGCCAAGTGACCCTATGTAGGGGAACAGTCCCTATTCTGCTCTGTGTCATGGTGTATCAGGGGCTCTGAGGACAGATGTCAATCCATATCTGCCAAGTGACCCTATGTAGGGGGAACAGTCTCTATTCTGCTCTCTGTCAGTGTGTATCATTGTCTCTGAGGACAGGTGTCAATCCATATCTGCCAAGTGACCCGATGTAGGGGGAACAGTCTCTATTCTGCTCTGGGTCAGTGTGTATCATGATCTCTGAGGACAGGTGTCAATCCATATCTGCCAAGTGACCCTATGTAGGAGGAACAGTCCCTATTCTGCTCTGTGTCAGTGTGTATCAGGGACCCTTAGGACAGGTGTCAATCCATATCTGCCAAGTGTAGGGGGAACAATCCCTATTCTGCTCTGTGTGAGGAGGAGGAACGGGAAATGAGTAGCTCAGCATCCAACCTTGTGCAAATGGGGTCTTTCATGCTGTCGTGCCTGTTGAGGGACCCTCGTATAAAAAGGCTGAAGGAGAACGACCTGCGCTGGGTGTCCACACTACTAGACCCCCGGTATAAGCAGACAGTGGTGGAAATGTTACCGAATTACAAGTCGGAAAGGATGCAGCATTTGCAAAATAATTTAAAAAGTATGCTTTACACAGCGTATAAGGGTGATGTCACAGCACAACGGGAATCTAACAGGGGAAGAGGTGAAAGTCATCCTCCTCCTCCCACGACCACGCCATATCTGCCAAGTGACCCTATGTAGGGGTAACAGTCCCTATTCTGCTCTGTGTCAGTGTGTATCAGGGCTCTGAGGACAGGTGTCAATCCATATCTGCCAAGTGACCCTATGTAGGAGGAACAGTCCCTATTCTGCTCTGTGTCAGTGTGTATCAGGGATCCTTAGGACAGGTGTCAATCCATATCTGCCAAGTGACCCTATGTATGGGGAACAGTCTCTATTCTGCTCTTTGTCAGTGTGCATCATGGTCTCTGAGAACAGGTGTCAATCCATATCTGCCAAGTGACCCTATATAGGGGGAACAGTCTCTATTCTGCTCTGTGTCATTGTGTATCATGGTCTCTGAGGACAGGTGTCAATCCATACCTGCCAAGTGACCCTATGTAGGGGGAACAGTCTCTATTCTGCTCTTTGTCAGTGTGTATCAGGGATCCTTACGATAGGTGTCAATCCATATCTGCCAAGTGACCCTATGTAGGGGGAACAGTCCCTATTCTGCTCTGTGTCCGTGTGCATCAGGGCTCTGAGGACAGGTGTCAATCCATATGTCAAGGTGTCAATATGTCATATGTCAGGTGTCAATCCATATTCATTGTGATTTTGGAATGTTAGGTGATTTCTGCCCTTTATGGATTAAAACCAGACTCTGTATCAACTGTGTAATTTTCCATGGGAGTTTTGCCATGGATCCCCCTCCGGCATGCCACAGTCCAGGTGTTAGTCCCCTTGAAACAACTTTTCCATCACTATTGTGGCCAGAAAGAGTCCCTGTGTGTTTTAAAATTCACCTGCACATTGAAGTCTATGGCGGTTCGCCCGGTTTGCCGGTTCACGAACATTTGCGGAAGTTCGCGTTCGCCGTTCGCGAACCGAAAATTTCGTGTTCGCGACATCACTATTTATCTACTGGAGTGCCCCTGTGGCCTCCAGTATATTGGACGCATCATAAGATCATTAAGGATACAAATAGCTGAACACTGCAGAAATATAGAAAAAAATTATATTGACCATTCTGTATCATCCCACTTCTGTAAACTTCTTCTTTTTTTGAGGATATACTTACAACCATCAAGAGACATCAAGTGTATGTATATATAATTTATGTAAGGCGCGGTTTCCTCCCTTCTTCTTTCTATAATAATGACCCCAAACACCTTACTTTCACGGGTATTGCCACATTAAAAAATCATTGGAGAGGTTGAGATCTTATTAAAAAAAATAGGACAAAAAGAGATGGAGTGGGTTTTTAATATGGACACCCTACACCCTAAAGGGTTAAATATAGAATTTGATCTTTTTAATTTTTTATGACATAATTCTTGCTGTTATTTTATATTAATATGTTTTTAATTCCCATGCTAATTCTGTATATTCTATCTATTATTAGTCATATTTATGGTTATTTTTAGATGTATTAATTTTTAATTAAGCTCACATATACCTCCTGCCGCTCCACACTTATAGTGTGTTACTCATGTACATATTATACCTCCTACAAGCTTATACTGTGACACCTCCACTTGCACATATTAGCTTTCACGTATATCCAGGGCCGGCGCTACCTGTAAGGCGACCTAGGCGGCCGCCTAGGGCGCAACTTAGCAGGGGGCGCCAGCCCTGCTGCACTCAGAATCAGCAAGAATCAGAGTCAGAAAGCGCTACAGAAAGCCTCAGACGGCACAGCACTGCTCTATGGAGGGCGGCCGCAGAGAGACGCGACCGCCCATGAGACCGCCCACCCCACGAGACCGCCCACCCCACAAGACTGCCCATCATGCAACAGTGAAGGTGGGTGGTCTCTCGGGGTCAGGACAGGTCACAGGTCACAGCACACAGTCTACTTACCTGCTGCTGCTGGAGCCTGGAGGCGGAGTTTAAGTGCTCCGTGCACTGGGCGACCGGAAGTGACTCTACCCGACCCCATCCTCCATTGAGCACAGAGATGGGGGATTTTAAAGTGGAAGAATGTGCCATGTTCAAGTGCCTCCAGTATTGTAGCTGGTTCCTGCTTCCCCAGCCTCCAGAGCCTGTATTTGACCAGGAGCCAGACTGTCATCTTGTCCTTATCGGGTGTGGTAAGTAGGAAATCCATTATTTTTATTCTTTAGTAATATTATTACATAACTATTTTACTTCACATTAAAAGGACACTATAGTTCCAGAACCACTACAGTTTAATGTAGTGGTTTTGGTGTCTATAGCCTGTCGCTGCAGGCTTTTAAAAGGTAAACACTGTCTGTCTTTTCAGAGTAAAGACACTGTGTGCAGTACTGATGTTAAAGGATCACTATAGTGTCAGGAAAACAAAGTGGTTTTCCTGACACTATAGTGTCCTGAGGGTGCCCCCACCCTCAGGGTCCCCCTCCCGTGGCGCTGAAAGGGGTTAAAACCCCTTCAGCAGCTTACCTTATTCCAGCGCCTCTCCTCCCCCGCAAGTGCCGCGCGTGCATTCAAAGTGTCCATAGGAATGCTTTCCTATGGACGCTCTGTGCGATGGAGGCATCAAATGCCTCCAGCGTTACAGATGCGCCTCTAGTAAGGCTGTCCATGGGATCTAACCCCAAATGTAATCATTGAGATGAAGTAGACTGGGTGACTATAGTGTCCCTTTAAGCGTCCCCTCCTGCATGGAGGAGCTTAAATGGACACTCCAGGCACCCAGACCACTTGTGCCAACTCCCCTTAACCCTGCAAGTGTAATTATTGCAGTTTTCATAAACTGCAATAATTACCTTGCAGGGTTAAGTCCTCCTCTAGTGGCTGTCTGTCAGACAGCCGCTAGAGGGACTTCCACGTTCTTATAACAAGAAAAGTGTGTTATACGACGCTGGGCGTCCTCACGCTCTGTGAGGGCCTCCAGCGTCGCTGAAATCCCTATGGGGAGGTTTAATGCGCGTGCGTGGCCATTGCCGTTCATGCGCATTAGTTCTCCCCCGCTGGCTGACGATGGAGAGGGAGGAGAGTAGGCAGAGTCTGCCCCTCGGCGCTGGACTCCGGTCAGCAACTTGAGGTGTTTTCCTGGCACTGGAGAGTCCCTTTAACATTCCCATATAGATGCATTTATTCATTGCATCTGTATGATGAGATGCTTTTTGGTGCAGTGTTTTGCTGCACAGGCACAATAGCCTCCCAATGCAAAGGTTAATGATCTGTGTGGGGGAAAAACTTAATATCTCTTTATGACCACACACAGAGGTTGGGGAGTGGGGGTGCTCTAATGTAACAGGATACAGGTGTATAGTGTTCCTGACGATATAGTGTTCCTTTAAGCTGCTCTCCACCGCCACTACATCAACCGTGCCCACTCTTGCGTAATGCAGAGATCTTCTGGCTTTTGGCTGATGTAGTGAAGGTAGGGCCATGTAAGGTAAGAAGTCAAACTGCTCTAATATGGTTTGACTACTTACATGGGGGGCGATGTCATGTCAGACCACTATACTATGTAGTGGTAATGGTTCATAAAAAATGTCTTTAATGAAATGTACAATTTGAACTATGTTTTATTAGGTTCATTTCTAAAAGTGTGAATTTTTGGGAATCAAAGTGAATGTCACAGTAGCCAAATGGTGGGGTGGGGGAATGGGGATATTGGGTAACTGTAACATAGTGATGGATTTCGCCATATGGTGTAACTGAATCCCAATTTTTTTTTTTGCTAGTAGTGGTGATTTTAAGTAGCTTCATAAAATTTAAAACTGGATTTATTTTGTGCACTGTTCCCTAATCTGTATTTTGAGGATGAAACACTTCAGTAGCGTGCCAACAAGGGGCGATAGGAATAGTTCAGAGGGGGTACACAGAGTAACTCCCCATTACATTTTGTTGTATGGACCCAGATAGAAGATTGAATTACTATGTAATGTGACTGACCATGTATGACTGTAGGTGAATGTTTGTGACTGTGCATGGGGGTGCTTGCTCTCACTTGCCCTCTCCATTTTTAATTCTTCATGTTTACATCAACTGCTCTCATACATACACATATATTTTTGCGTCTTTCACACTCCCACACGTGCGCACATATGTACAGTAGGTTTCTAAATGATTTTCAGCTATTATTGTGGTTTAATGATCATCAAAGAGAATATTAATTGAATATTAATAATTTTTGATGTACATTTATTCTACAATAGTTATTTTGATAATTGAACAAGATGTCTGCACCACGAAAGAAATTGTCTGGTGCTGCTTTCCGAAAGAAAAGAAGGCTGCAAGAAGAAGACACTTCTAAGATGGCTGGATCATTAAATAGGTTCTTTAAACCTGATCCAGTATTAAAATCTGTAAGCGAGACTAAAGAGAATCGTGAAGCTGTAGATGTCGAACCACACCCTTCTACTTCAACTACTACTGTGGGCGAACATTCTTTGGGCATAGAAAGTGATACAAACACCGAGGAAGAGAGTTCACAGAAATCATCATCATCAGAAGATGAAAATGGAAAAAGCATGCTGGTAGACCTCTTTGATCCAGCTGACTGGCCTGAAATGCTTACTAGCTCACTAAAAGAAACCATCGTTCTGAAAGGTCTGGCAAAGCCAAAAGAGCACTTTGCATTTCCTAAAGATGCATCCAAGAGACGGTTTACATCAACCCACTATAGATGGCGCCTTGGAAATGGTGAAGTGCATGCTAGAAAGTGGCTTAGTTATTCTCCTAGACTGGACAAAATATTTTGCTTTTGTTGTAAACTCTTTACAACTACAAAAATGAGCCTGACAACGTGAAGCTACGATGATTGGAAAAATTTGTCCCAGTGTCTGGCTACACATGAAGTGTCTCCATCTCACTTCACTGCTATGGGAAACTGGACAGAACTGTTAACAAGGCTTGGGTCTGGAAGTACTATTGACCATTCATACCAAAGATTATTGGCAACTGAAACGCAGCACTGGCAGAATGTTCTTCAGCGGCTTGTTCAATATCTTGGGAAGCAGTGCTTGGCCTTCAGGGGCAGCAGTGACATGCTGTACTCTGAAAATAATGGAAATTACTTGAAACTTGTAGAAATGATGGCAACATTTGATAGTGTGATGCAAAGCCACTTGAAAAAGATACAGAATTCAGAAATTCATCAGCATTATTTAGGAAAAGACATCCAAAATGAACTAATTGGTTTAATTTCAAAAGAAATACGGAGACACATTCTACGGTTGCTTAAGGATGCCAAGTACTATTCCATTATACTTGACTGCACCCCTGACATCACTCTTGTTGAACAGATGACTATGGTTTTCAGGTTTGTATCTGTTAAGCAAGGAGACTCGCCAATTGCAAATCCTGAAATACACATTGAGGAAAGATTTCTTGGTTTCCTGCCAGTTCACAACTCATCTGGAGAAGGATTAACAGAGGCAATTTTGAATGAGCTTGAAATGCTGAAGATACCACTCAGTGATATGAGAGGTCAAGGGTATGATAATGGCTCCAACATGAAGGGAAAGCACTCAGGAGTACAAAAAAGAATCATGGACCTGAACTCACGTGCTTTCTATGTCCCCTGCTGTGCTCATTCCTTAAATCTTGTAGTAAATAATGCTGCTATGTGCTGTAGGGATGCCAGTACATTTTTTTGCATTCTTCAGAAAATATATGTTTTTTTTATCAGGTTCAACAAATCGATGGGATGTTCTAAAAAAGCATGTGAGTAAGCTGACAGTTAAGCCGCTATCCGATACTAAATGGTCAAGCAGAATTGATGCTATTCGGCCATTTAGGTTCCATGTTGGAGAAGTGTATGACACCTTAATTGAAATCGGAGGTGATATGAATTTTGCTGCTCTTGCTCTTACCCTATCTTAGAACCTAAAAATAAATTTAAAGTGGAATGTTTCTTCACAATATTAGACACAACAATAAAATCTGTACATGAAAGAAATGAACAGCTTAAATTTCATTCCACGCATTTTCAATTTTTGAATGACATCCACAAGCTAAAAGATGTGCAAAAAGGAGAACTCCTGCAGTTCTGCATGGAATTGCAGAATGTCTTAACCGATGTAAAATCAAAGGAGTCTGATGTAGATGGAAGGCAACTGTGTGAAGAACTTGCTGTATTGGCTCCTGTTAGTAAACCTTCGATGACACCTGTTGATATTTTGGCCTACGCAGTGAGGAATGGATTTGCTCCAAATGTGGCAATTGCACTTCTAATTATGTTGACCTTACCAATCACTGTTGCCACAGGTGAGCGAAGCTTTTCGAAACTGAAAATTATAAAAAATTATCTTCGTTCTTCAATGTCCCAAGAACGGCTTGTGGGACTTGCCATGATAGCAATAGAGAATCGGACGGCCCAGGAGATTGACTTTGAAACATTACTGAAGAACTTTGCGAATGCCAAAGCAAGACAAGTTAAATTTAATTAGATAGGATAACTGTTAGAAAGTATTTAAGCTGTTTACGAAGTTGCTGAAGCTGTTTACAAAGTTATTTAGCACTTAAATTGTATGCTGCATTTATATATTTATTTTGCTATGTGTTTGGGGTTCTTTGAATGACCATACCATTTCTATTGTTGCACTTATATTATGCAAGTATGCCACTATAATATAAATGTGGCCATGTGTTTTTCTCTTAACAACTGTATGTTGTATTGCACTTTCAGAATGTTAATGTATTAAACTATTTAAATTCGCACTTTATTTTACATTGTGGCCTTTTGTGCAATTTGTCAGTGTCTTGAACCAAAAGGTGGGGGGGGGCAGGGGGGACCGCAATTTTTATTTTGCCTAGGGCGGCAAAAATCTTTGCACCGGCCCTGGTTTCAATAGTTAATAAAGAAGAGGCAGAGAATACCTGTAAATAGGGAGGTATAGGAGGCAGTAGCAAGCTAGGATTAGATGCAATGATAAATAAATAGAGATGTAGAAAATATAGATAATCCTGATGCTTGTAAGATAGAAAATCTAAGTGCCTTCAAGGGTCCCCCTTAATAAATGCCTATACTATATATGTGGGGTTGTGCTCTATAGTATAGGCATTTATTAAGGGGTGCCCTCAAAGGCACATTGTTATCATTGTATAATATTGTTAAGAAAGATCTTGTACTAGGCTAGGCTGAGGATCAGTGAAATCCTGGGCTGCGTGCTTTGGAACTCAAGGGCCTTTTAAAGGGACATTGAGGACCCGAGTGCGCAGCCCAGGATATCACTTGTGATTGGAATTAAGTCAGTGTGGTGTGCCGAAACCAACATAGGGGGTAGGCCTGTAAAATGAGGGCAAAAAGAAAGGCGGGAAGACACACTTATAGCAACATGATTATTAAGTGTTCTTGCATAGCAAGACCACTTAATGTTATCTCACATATATCTTATTATTATTAAGTGTTCTTGCAAGAACACTTATTGTTATCTCACATATATATTCTTATTAAGTGTTCTTGCATAGCAAGACCACTTAATGTTATCTCACATATATATTATTAAGTGTTCTTGCATAGCAAGACCACTTAATGTTATCTCACATATATATTATTATTAAGTGTTCTTGCATAGCAAGACCACTTAATGTTATCTCACATATATATATATTAAGTGTTCTTGCATAGCAAGACCACTTAATGTTATCTCACATATATATTATTATTCTTATTATAGCCAAATTTGCCACCCTAACTCCTCCCACAGTTTTTACACTACATAGACAAAAATTTACCAAAACGCAGATTGTTCCCGATCGATTGTTATTACTTTGTGAACGCTTCAATAATGGTTCACGAATATCTTCGCTCTTGTGGCTTAAATTTGTCCCATAGGAATGAATGGCAAAAGCTAGAGTGGGAGCTGCCAAAAGCTGAAAAATCAGGACATGATTTCTAAACTGCCACCACTCCCTTATTTTCAGGCCCACCTACACAAATCTTATATCAAAACGTTCAGCTATCCCTGCTGCCACTAAACATGTCAACGGCTAAGCCATAGTCCTGATAGTTTTCACAATATAATCATTTGTTTGTAACTAACGCCGTCCATTGACTTTCATTGAAACTTCACTCTGCAAAGCTCAAATTTGAAGTGCAATTTCTAAACTGCGACTGTGCCTTCAATTTTAATACTTCAGAGACATACTATGCATCAAAATGTAGGTCTGGGTCTTGTGATTCTCACAATATAAAGCTCTTCACTGTAGGAGTTATAGTTTTTAAGATACGACCGTTTGAAGATGGCAACCACCAAAATACTCTGACCTGTGTCAAGCTGCAGCAGCAAGTGATGTCATAGACAGGGCCTTTTGAACACCTGCTAATGTTTTTATAAATGTATGGTTTAATGTAACTGTGCAACAACGTTGCAATTAAATGTGCTATGTAAATGATAACAGTTACTCCGCCCACTCCAGTTGTAGACTACTGGTGGAGGCAAGAACACTTCACACAATTTCCCCAGAAATTGTAGCTTTTCTAGTTATTATTATTCTTATTATAGCAAAATTTGCCACCCTAACTCCTCCCACAGTTTTTACACTACATAGACAAAAATTTACCAAAACGTGCAGATTGTTCCCGATCGGATTGCTATTACTTTGTGGAACGTTTCGCCGAATGGTTCACGGAATATCGTCGTTCTTGTGGCGAAATTTGTCCCATAGGAATGAATGGCAAAGCTAGAGTGGGAGCTGGCAAAAGCTGAAAAATCAGGACATGATTTCTAAACTGCCACCACTCCCTTATTTTCAGGCCCACCTACACAAATCTTATATCAAAACGTTCAGCTATCCCTGCTGCCACTAAACATGTCAACGGCTAAGCCGTAGTCCTGATAGTTTTCACAATATAATCATTTGTTTGCAACTAACGCCGTCCATTGACTTTCATTGAAACTTCACTCTGCAAAGCTCAAATTTGAAGTGCAATTTCTAAACTGCGACTGTGCCTTCAATTTTAATACTTCAGAGACATACTATGCATCAAAATGTAGGTCTGGGTCTTGTGATTCTCACAATATAAGGCTCTTCGCTGTAGGATTTATAGTTTTTAAAATACGACCGTTTGAAGATGGCAACCACCAAAATACTCTGACCTGTCAAGGCTGCAGCAGCAGGTGATGTCATAAACAGGGCATTTTAAACACCTGCTAATGTTTTTATAAATGTATGGTTTAATGTAACTGTGCAACAACGTTGCAATTAAATGTGCTATATAAATGATAACAGTTACTCGCCCACTCCAGTTGTAGACTACTGGTGGAGGCAAGAACACTTCACACAATTTCCCCAGAAATTGTAGCTTTTCTAGTTATTATTATTATTATAGCAAAATTTGCCACCCTAACTCCTCCCACAGTTTTTACACTACATAGACAAAAATTTACCAAAACGTGCAGATTGTTCCCGATCGGATTGCTGTTACTTTGTGGAACGTTTCGCCGAATGGTTCACGGAATATCGTCATTCTTGTGGCGAAATTTGTCCCATAGGAATGAATGGCAAAGCTAGAGTGGGAGCTGGCAAAAGCTGAAAAATCAGGACATGATTTCTAAACTGCCACCACTCCTTATTTTCAGGCCCACCTACACAAATCTTATATCAAAACGTTCAGCTATCCCTCCTGCCACTAAACATGTCAACGGCTAAGCCATAGTCCTGATAGTTTTCACAATATATTCATTTGTTTGCAACTAACGCCGTCCATTGACTTTCATTGAAACTTCACTCTGCAAAGCTCAAATTTGAAGTGCAATTTCTAAACTGCGACTGTGCCTTCAATTGTAATACTTCAGAGACATACTATGCATCAAAATGTAGGTCTGGGTCTTGTGATTCTCACAATATAAAGCTCTCCACTGTAGGAGTTATAGTTCTTAAGATACGACCGTTTGAAGATGGCAACCGCCAAAATACTCTGACCTGTGTCAAGCTGCAGCAGCAAGTGATGTCATAGACAGGGCCTTTTGAACACCTGCTAATGTTTTTATAAATGTATGGTTTAATGTAACTGTGCAACAACATTGCAATTAAATGTGCTATATAAATGATAACAGTTACTCCGCCCACTCCAGTTGTAGACTACAGGTGGAGGCAAGAACACTTCACACAATTTCCCCTGAAATTGTAGCTTTTCTAGTTATTATTATTCTTATTATAGCAAAATTTGCCACCCTAACTCCTCCCACAGTTTTTACACTACATAGACCAAAATTTACCAAAACGTGCAGATTGTTTCCGATCGGATTGCTATTACTTTGTGGAACGTTTCGCCGAATGGTTCACGGAATATCGTCGTTTTTGTGGCGCAATTTGTCCCATAGGAATGAATGGCAAAGCTAGAGTGGGAGCTGCCAAAAGCTGAAAAATCAGGACATGATTTCTAAACTGCCACCACTCCCTTATTTCCAGGCCCACCTACACAAATCTTATATCAAAACGTTCAGCTATCCCTGCTGCCACTAAACATGTAAACGGCTAAGCCGTAGTCCTTTTAGTTTTCACAATATGACCATTTGTTTGCAACCAACGCCGTCCATTGACATTCATTGAAACTTCACTCTGCAAAGCTCAAATTTGAAGTGCAATTTCTAAACTGCGACTGTGCCTTCATTTTTAATACTTCAGAGACATACTATGCATCAAAATGTAGGTCTGCGTCTTGTGATTCTCACAATATAAAGCTCTTCGCTGTAGGATATATAGTTTTTAAAATATGACCGTTTGAAGATGGCAACCACCAAAATACTCTGACCTGTCAAGGCTGCTGCAGCAAGTGATGTCATAGACAGGGCCTTTTGAACACCTGCTAATGTTTTTATAAATGTATGGTTTAATGTAACTGTGCAACAACGTTGCAATTGAATGTGCTAGACTACTGGTGGAGGCAAGAACACTTCACGCAATTTCCCCAGAAATTGTAGCTTTTCTAGTTATTATTATTATTATTATAGCAAAATTTGCCACCCTAACTCCTCCCACAGTTTTTACACTACATAGACAAAAATTTACCAAAGCGTGCAGATTGTTCCCGATCGGATTGCTATTACTTTGTGGAACGTTTCGCCGAATGGTTCACGGAATATCGTCGTTCTTGTGGCGAAATTTGTCCCATAGGAATGAATGGCAAAGCTAGAGTGGGAGCTGACAAAAGCTGAAAAATCAGGACATGATTTCTAAATTGCCACCACTCCCTTATTTTCAGGCCCACCTACACAAATCTTATATCAAAACATTCAGCTATCCCTGCTGCCACTAAACATGTCAACGGCTAAGCCGTAGTCCTGATAGTTTTCACAATATAATCATTTGTTGCAACTAACGCCGTCCATTGACTTTCATTGAAACTTCACTCTGCAAAGCTCAAATTTGAAGTGCAATTTCTAAACTGCGACTGTGCCTTCAATTTTAATACTTCAGAGACATACTATGCATCAAAATGTAG